AACGCCCGCCTAGGCGCGCCAAGCCGGGCCGCCTAGCATTTTTTGAAACCTTGCTTCAACCCCTCATTCCCCTCTCCAAAAGAAAGAAACATCAACCTCTCTACCACATAGCCCAAGAAAGGGTTCCTTCAACCCCCTACCCTTCCCCTCTCCAAAAGAAAGACACATCAATCTCCTTGCAGTCCAAACACTCTTCTTCTTCTTCTTCTCCCTCATTCAATATATTCGCCTAATCCACTTCTTCTTCCCACTCCCTCAACGTCTTACCCATAACCACCCTTCATTCGCGCCATCGATATATTAAGGAGGTTATTTTTTGCCGACTCTAGAACCTCCTAACTGTGTTGAACACGGCTCTTGAATCAGAGAACTCTTTTACATACTTTGATACATTGCCCATAAAGAAATAGAAAGGATTTCAAGGGCAGAGCACAACATCAAGTAGATGCTACAAGTTATGGGTCTTATACACAAGAGCCGCACCGGTTACATCAGCATTCAAAGAAAATTACATCAAAGGCCTACATTAATCGGGCCTAAGGGAAAAAGGCAACTCCCCCCCCCCCCCTTCTAATCCAAGTGATGCCCATATCCAAAGGCACTCCTCTCGATGCCAACACAACCCATCCCTAAATGATGATGCTAACTTGTAATATCTGGGGTTGGGTGACCTCTAGAAAAGATATTCCCAATGCAACATTACCCACAAATACCAACCAGACACACTCAACATTATGGATATAAGCCAATAACATATAATAAGAGGAACGAGACAGAAGGGACTCTGCCAAAATTGAACTACAAGAAACCCTCAAACAAGAGGAAATCTTCTAGTGGCCGAGATGAATGATCAAATGGCTTAAGGACAGGGAAGGAACACGGGTTTCTTCCACAAAACTGCAAATCGCAAGACAAGTTACTTGGTTCTCCAAATGAAGGAGTGCGGGTGCACATAGGATGACCACAACAGCATCTCTCAAGTCATCACCAGCTTTTTCAAGAAACTCTTTTCTGCTGAGGATATCAGCAGAGTATCAGACAAAATATAGCCATCATCTATTTTTAAATGATACATGAGGGGCCTTGAGCAAGGAGGCCACCATTGATACATATGTCGAACACTTTTTAAGTTGTCAACCAGAGTGGATGCCATCTCTTTCCCAATGCCTTAATGACAATGAGACCACTGACCTCAAGTCTTTGATCGAGCTGCTCAAGCCATGCTTCATCCTGAGATAAGGTTGTAACAAGACCATCCAGTACCCAAACCCAAAAGATACTCTCTCAGTGTCCTCTTTTCACAAAGTCACTGATAATCTAGATCAAGCAAATGCTCATAGTGCCTGGTTCTCCCCTGCCCCTTTAGAGTCCTAGCATTTAATTGGCTGACCATATCACATAAAGCACTAACTGTGGACTACCTAAAGTGCAAAGGGGCCTAACTGGCCGATAGATGCATTCTGCACAACACTGAAGAGGAAACCTCTTGCATTGCAATCTAGAATCCAAGTCTGGGCCTTCTTTCTAGCTAAAGCATCAAACCTTTGACTGCAAGCAGACTCAAATCACCACTCTCATAGATCGTATTTGATCAACAGCCATGTTGTGGACTCTCTAAAGGATATTATTCAGCAATAGATCCCCTTAATGGCAACAGATCATTTGATCTATACCAGTTTCAACCCCAAGATCTTCATTGTGGTTGCCATCAAACTAAATATCAGTGACAGCTCTATCGGGATCCCAGGCCCAGCTGATATGGGGGATGTCATCAGAACTCATACTCTCAAGATCTTACTTACCAATCCCAGAACGACCAACACAGCAAGTGTCACTTTTGCTAGATCCAAAGAACTTCTAGTTGGCATGCAAGGATTTGGTAGAAGTTGGGGTTCATCGGTCATCACCAAATGAGAATCCCAAAATGTCATCCCGTGGGCTAGCAAGTCCATTCGCTGCCCTTGGAGGTTTGACAAACTCTTCAAGAAAATTTTCCAATGTGCCATGGTCTCATACTTGATATGAACCAAGCTCATTCACCAATAGCCAAGCTAAAGAAGGGTGTAAATCACACTTCCCTCTTAGTTATCCATCCTCAGGCACCCTCTTCCCCCTAAGCCGGCACTTTTGTTCAGCCTATCTCAAATGCTGGCCATTTTTTGTATATAAATATTGTAAGGAACACCCATACAAAATTTTCCTTGTCACACCTCACATTCAAAATACAAAAGAGCAACTATTTAAAGAGGAAAAAAAGCAGTTCCTATGAAAACATAAACATATACATAACCCTTACAGCGTTTCTTTTCAGCCTTCCTCGGAAAAATAACAATGTTTTCCTATGATGTTCACTTTTCTGCAAGCATTGGCCATCACAGACTTCTACATTTGGGACATACGGTAGAATGAGGTCCTTCTCTAGCCAAACTTCCCCAGGCTTGTACCTGCATATATAACATCCAGAGTTTTTGCATCCATTATAATTAATGGAAACAAAGGAAAATGCTATAATCCAATGGATCATCAAAAACCCAATTCCAGTGGGACATTGAAAAGGTGACAGAGGTATAGAACGAGTAGGACAACCAGCAAGAACCACAATAGCAAGGCATGACACTGATGGTGAATCCCCCACACCCTCCATGACAGTCCATCATTTCAGTGGCCAATGATATCCCATGAACTGTGGTTTGTTCCGTAGCCCATAGGCGTAGAAAGACAAAACATTGAAGGAAAAAGTTCAATCTACAAAATATTTGTTAGGAAAAATAATGGGCAGAATTAATTACCAGTTCCCTGTGGAATCCATGTCAGGGAGAAGCCAAATTGCATTCTTCATAAATCGGCGTACAGATTTAAAAGACCATGGATGATGAACTGGAAGTATATGGTCCCTCCCTTCTGACCTCTGCCATGCAGGCTGGTCCTTAACCCACTTCAAGACCTCCTGTGTCCAAATACATTATGGATGAGATGTTGACAACATAACGTAAATGTCCATCACACGATTGGGGTCTTCCATATGGTTTTGTGTTTTAATAGCCAAATAAACTTCAAAGACATTACAATACTAATTATCTAATCAACTTCCTTTTCGGGGTAAGTGCTTGCCAAGAAATTTCTAATCAACCCAAGAATAGTTAGAAGCCAGATTTTCAACTTACAATACTAAATGCATATCCACATTTATAGGGAAGTAAAAAAACCCCAAAAAGAGGAACAATAGAACTAGACCCCAAGTGCTAACAATGCAATTAATGTGCATGCATCTCCAAATGGTTCACTCGACTAAACATGCAAAATAAACAAATCATCTATGTTATGAACATTGTAGAATTAGTATGTCAAGCCTCAATATGTGTAAGAAAAAAAATTTCTCATCAAAATGCAAGCCAATAGATACCTAGATCCAGTGTCCAAATTTCGGCCGAGTCCACTCGGACTCAGCCGAGTAACTCGGCCTCGCCCTAGTGGCGAGGTGAGTTCTAGGCGAGTTGAGTGCTAACACACGCCCCACAAAAACCTCTTAAAATCTAAAAAATGTTAAAAAAATCTTTAAAAAATAGAAATGACATATGTTGCTTAGAAATGATTTTGATAGTTTTTAAGATGATTTGGGATCGTTCATATTTTTTTCCTTTTTTAATTTTTTTTGAACTACTCAAGGTATAAATCAACTTTTTCGATAATCCATATGTTGTAGTTTTTTTTCATCTTCTTCAGCCTTCTAATGATTTCTATTAACTCTAAATAGTTTTCCTAATTTTTTATTACTTTTAGAAGTTAACTTTTTTTATTTTTTTTACATTCTGAAGGGGTCAAAGAATACAGCTTACATCTTTATGTAATTCCAATACATCAAAGACATAAAAATCGGTTTCCTATTTTCAAAAAATAATAATTTGGAATATTTTTAAACACAGCTCAATCATAAACCTTGGAGCGGCGCCCACACCCTGTAAAGTTGCTTGCATTGTTGTTTCTCCAGCAAAAAGAAGCTAATGGTTGTGAAGAATGGAATGTAGAACAGATCTGCATCCTCTTGATTATGAACCCTGACAACATGCTTCAGATGTCTCTCTGACTCAGGAGCAATCAGATCTGCCCATAACCAGTAATCAACAGAGTGCTGCCAAACAAATGTAGGGTCAATTAACAAGTATACTGCATGGCTGTAAGGTAAAAGAAAGGCAACAACAAACATAGGAAACTAAAGAAACATACTTGAAGCTATTCATTGATTAAAGAAAATAAGGAAAAATAGAAACATAGGGGGTAAAAAGACAAAGAAAAGGAAAAACAGGTATAAAAAATCTCGAATAACATATTAAATAAGAATAAGATGTGGGTAGATAGAGATAAGACTTGGAATGGTCCATGCTGCAACTTATGGGGACATAAAACGTAACTTTCTAATGCCTCAGTCTCTTTATTTCTATTAAAATCCATCTCATGAGATGTGATTCAATTTTCATTTGCTAAAGAAGAAGCCCAAGAATGAAGGTTCTTTTAGTCTTGTTTTTAACAGCGTCTATTTTCTTTTAAAATTATATTGGCTGACATGAGATTTATACTTAATAAATCTTTGGATCCTCAATCAGGATCTAGAAATTTAACCAAGAGTTAAGACTTGAACTCAACTCAGCTAACCACCAGGTTAAGTTGATTAGTAACTATGGCAAGACAACCCAGACTTACAAATGCTACAAGGGTACATAGAAAGACAAACTTCATCATCAGACCAATTAACTGAGTGACTATGCATGGGGTGGGGCAAGAAATTTGGAGGACAATGTGAAAAAGTAGCCCAAGATCACAAATGTCAATGAAATTCCAAAAGTTACGATGAGATCGTCAACCTATGGCATGCGGAAACAGATTACGCTTTACATATTTTAGAAAAAGAATATAGATTCAAAGACATTGCAGACCAAGACGCTGCAAGTGTTCTGTTACCTTGGTAGGCAGCTACTTGCTATTGAAATTCATGGGACCTGTGAAAACATGGTGGTAGTAACGGTAAAAGGGAAGCAGCTCCATAGGGGAAAAACATCAAGTCATCTAGGTCAAAGCAGGAGTTTAGGGTGGGTAGGGGACGCGTGCAAATGAAAATTAACAGTTGAATCTAAGATCTCCCTTGTTCAACAAAGCATACTTTAGTGTCTAGCAAGATCCTTTGAGAACCTCAGAGGGTCCATAAGGTAGCTACACCATGGAGGGTATTGGAATTCACAGGAATTATTGTCGAATTGAATTAGAGAGTGACGATCACAAACTAGGAGTAGTTGAACTGGACGCATTCGATTTTAAAATGAGGTTGGTACAAGAAGAGGGACAACATGAGGATGGAGAGGATACAACTAATAAAGCCTTAAAAGAATAGAATGGGGAAAAGATGTAGTAAGAGGATGCAAAGTGAAGGTAGGTGAGGGAAATGGGAAGAAGATCTCGTGGTCTCTAGGAGCTAGGAAGCAATTTGCTAATCGTGGCTAATGGGTGCTTGGCAGCATGTTGTTTGCAAAAGAAGCCTTTCATGCTCCATCAGCAATTGTTACTGATTTTGTAAAAAGTAGGTTAGAGCCACTTCCAACAGGAAGATAGTGCACGAATGGGTGTGAAATATCAAAAACGCAGCCAAAATACATGTTAATTTCTCACTCATGAAATAGTTTCAAATAAAACTATATGTGACTACTAGATAATAATAGAAGTATTATGGCACGTCATTGAAAGAAAAAAGCTTCATCGATCAACAATGACAAACAGTAGATCCGGGTTCATATAACGTATGACCTCCTTTTACTATTATATACTTTCAATAACCAAATTTAAGAGATTTAACCCCACTGGTTCTTCTCATAAACTAACAGAATGTGCATTTCAAATATAACATGTTAAACACATAATTGCTGAAAAACAATAAGGATCCACAAAAATTACTACAATCTATGTAAATAGTCGACAAACTGAATATCCATGAATCATGCTCATAAAGTATAGGTTTCTAGAATTAGTAACCGAGTTCACACACACACACGCACACACACACACACACACACACACACACACACACACACACACACATATAATATATATATATATATATATATATAGGAAAGTGCTTCTGTGAGCCAATGGGCTTGCAAGAAAAAATGAGCCCAATGGCCCAGATTGAATCTGGGCCAATCTGACGATCAAAGATGTTCGATAGTGTTTGAATTTTAATTTTTTTTCTACAAATTCAAATCACTTGAAATTTTAGACGTGTGTTGATATAAATTAGGTGAATATTCAAAAAATATTAAAAAAATATTTTATATGAAAAAAATAAGCAAAATACCCCTGTAAAGTTTTGGGGATATTTTGGTCATTTTTAATTTTATGGATTATTTTTTTTATATTTTTATTAGGTGCGCCTTGATGA